ATTGTGAACCCACTCATTAAATTGAGAACTCGTATTTTAACTATTATTATCTTGTCACTTCCATGACTGACTTGACACTGGCAGAATTCTACCAAGAGAAGCCATAATTTAAAAGAAGAACTACGTTAATTTGAACTAACCTAGCAACCTTTTTTTTTGCTTGATTTGTGACTGCGATTAATAGCACGTTTATTTAAGACCAAGTTAGTGAAAAAAGCACGATAAAATTGAGAAATTTTGGGTCACAATACCTAATACGATTTAAGGTGTTGATTTTCCTTATTTTCATAAATTTGTCAGTTATAACTGAACTAATAACTGACATGGATTCTATTTTTAATTTTCCCGGGGCAGATATGCCCCCCCCCCCTTTTCTCGCCCCGTGCCCGCTTGACGTTGAGTTTCGGGACATGTATATTCATAAAGTAGATTAAATAAAGTAGGTAGTATATTTATAATGTGGTGCATTTAAAACATTTAGTAATATTGCGTCACACAAATGGTTTGACTGCCAGGAAAAGTTTGCCATTCAGGCTAATTCACCTTTTGCTACTGTATTTATAAAGATGATATCAATAAAGTATAAATAATCAATTAATTAATCATTAGGTGACATTTGCCATAGTTTGGACTGTTTTCAGCCACTGCTGATTTCAGCCACTCTTTGGACCATGGGCGGCGGGTTGACGATTACAGTTTTTTTTATTGTAGAGTTGTATTCAGGGAGATGCTGCTGCCCATCTTCTGGTTTAGTTTCCCTCTATAGCTTCTAACGACATCTACAGGATGACATGAACATGACACAGCCACTTCACGACAAAATAAAATTATTCACTATTCATTCTAATAATACCATATTATAGTGTACTCTTCTAGCTATCAGGTACCAATATAAGTATGGAAACTGTGTTGGGTGTCCATTAGAAATAACACAATATAGTATTGTTGTCCTATAATAGCTTTCTGACCATACATAAATGTTAGGAAGAGCTGTAACTATTACTGTACTAACATCCTAGCTTCCTAACATATTTTTTTTATAGAAGAGAGGGCAAATACTGTATGCATAATACGGCATGAAATACTGTCCCGCTCTGCTGGGTACGCCAAGCTTTTTAGAGGCCAATTTGGCCTTCTCCTCCAAGTGACCACGAAACTGCACGTCACTCGATATGTCGATGCTGAGGATTCCGATACTGGCTGAGGCAACAAGGGGAGTGCCTTGAAACTGACGAGATACTACAAAGGGGTTCTTTTTAGCGGTTAACGGTTAATTTGTGTCTTCTGAGAGTCAAAGTGGACTAGATTTAGTCGCCCCCAATCCGAGACTCTGTTCAGCAAAGACTCGACTTCAGACACAAGTTTGTCCCGGTACTCGGAGACGTTTTTCCGAGAAATATTGGCACGGCCGATGTACAGAGCATCAACAGTGCTGTAATCTGCATAGCAATGAATGTTACGGGCTTGCAACATATCATTGATATGCAGAAGAAACAGCGTTGGCGATAGCACGCAGCCTTGTGGAGCACCAGCATTAATAGGCTTGTAATGGGAGCTTGCACCGTCTACAACGACCTTGATGCTCCGATCTGCAAGAAAGCTGGTGATCCAAGTGCACAATTTCTCGGGAAGCCCATAGGAAGGGAGCTTCGAAAGAAGCGCTTTGTGCCAAACCCGATCGAAGGCCTTCGCAATGTCCAAACTAACGGTCAATGCCTCCCCCTTGGACTCTACTGCCTCCGCCTATCTATGAGTTAGGTAGACCAGAAGATCACCAGCTGATCGAACACGGCGAAAACCGTATTGGCGATCACTAATCTGCTGGTGATCCTAAAGGTACCTCATGGGCTGACAGTTTACAATGTACTCCATTGTTTTGTAGAACAAGGAGGTGATGGCGATAGGCCTGTAGTTGGGTGGGTCTGAGCGGTCGCCTTTTTTAGGGATCGGGTGGACGAAAGCAGTCTTCCATGATTTTGGGACTACGCCTAGGGAGTAGGAGTATCGGTGTAGACACCTTAAAACCGGTGCCAACTCTGGAACACACGTCCTCAGCACAATTGGGGGATTCCGTCAGGCCCACTCGACTTGTGGATGTCTAGGGAGAGGAGTGCTTTGCGAACCGAGCGCTGTGTGAACTGCACTTCCGGCATGGAGCACTTACATCGCGGGATGGTCGGCGGCGTACTTCCGCCGTCATCGAGAGTCGAGTTGGACCCAAAGAAAGAGTCTGGGGAGTTCTCCTTTGCGGTATGGGCCAGTGAGTCGTCCTCCTTGTGCAAAGATGTAAGAGATGGCTGACAGAAATTCCCCTGGACAGCCTTGGCGAGAGACCAGAATGCACGGGTTCCAGAAGGAAGGCGAACTAGTTTCTCGCCAATTCTGCCTATGTGCTCTGGCTTTGCCTTGGCAATGACTCTTTTGAAGGACCTGGAGGCGGAATTATATTTCTTTTTTAGAGCGCTAGTGTTTACATCCCGGAACGTTGATGCGTCAGCCCAGGCTTGGTAGCACTCCTGCTTATAGCATGATGCTATTTTACAGGAGCGACCAAACCATGGCTGAGATTTGCCTCCGATGGGCACCACAGAGGAAGGAATAAAATGTTCCATACCCTGAAGTACCACATCAGCGATAGAATCCGCATCAACGTTGGGATCGTCCGGCGAGAAGCAAACCCGCCCCCAAGGGTAGAATGCAAAGAAAGACCGCTTCCTATCCGAATCGGCTGACCTATAGTGCCAAACACGGCGGCAGCCTGCAGAATGCAACTGCAATTTCAGAGTGAGTGGCACCACATTCCGGACAAGACAATGGTCCGAGGAGCCTAAAGGGGCGTCGACGGAAATCTGATATCCATCCGGGTGAGAGGTCAGCAGAAGGTCCAACAGGGAAGGTGCATGATCCTCCACATCTGGAATCCGCGTAGGCGAAGTAACTAGTTGTGTCAGACCATATGCCAAGGCAAAATCATGAACAGATCTTCCCGCATGATCGGTTAAACGTGAACCAAGCCATTCGGCGTGATGGGCGTTAAAATCGACGAGGATCACGATCTCTGTGGAGGGGATTTGCTGTAGCAATGAATCTGTAACCATTTGGACGTGGTCGAAGAGTGGGTCTGTTTCGGCATTACCGCTATGGGACCTATAGAGACACCCGTAGACGCGCGGATGGTCGTCGCCGTCTACGCGTAGCCAAATGATGGACAGGTCCGAATCTTCAAGACTGCCGAGGCGTCGAGAACAGGGTAAGAGAGATCCGAGACATCAGCCGGAGAGGACACCTGCGTCGCGGTCAGAAAGAGCAGAGCCGGCCTCGCCGTCTCGAGATGGTAGTGGACGGCCGCCTTGGTCTTGTTGCTCCGTTTGCCCTGAACAGTTGCAGTCTTGACCGAAATTTTGCCCCCCCCCCTTCCCCTCCGAATACGCGGGGCAGCTTGAGCAGCCACGCTCAGGAGTGGAGTAACTTGGTCGTGGATGCTCAACGAGGAATTCTTCAGGGGTGATGGTACCCTCCTGGGGTAGTTTGACATTTAATTCCGCTACCATGTTGATGGGGGGGGGGGGATTTGGGCCTCCGGCCACCTGCACTCACCAGACGAAACGCGGAAGCAGAGCTTCCACTTCACGCCGGTATTCTGTGAGGTCGTGGTACCACCCCGGTTTAAGCCGGCCCATATGTGGAACAGCAAAGCTGCCTTGTAGCTCTACCACTGTTAAAAACATAATTCACTCTCATACTCTACCACTGTCATAAACGTAATCGTAGTTCCCTATCACCCTAATTTTTTATTACAATTTATTGTGTGAATTGATGAATATAAATCAAAGCTTTCTCTATTGCATTACAAAGTCAATTTTTTTTTGGGTCTAATCACTTAACTGCTGAGTTGCAATTTCAATGCCTATTGTCATGGCCCATAATCATCATGTATTAGTTATTTGTGCTTTTAAATATCATTATTTACAAACATTTCTGAATAGGGAGTCAAAAATAAGTACTTAATTCAATTAAGCAGGTTCTAAATATCAATGAAATATCGATGCCTATAGTACCGAAATATTTTGGGTTTTGTTCGGACGCTAGTTACGGTCACTGTACTAAATTCTTGCCTGAAAAATTGAGATTATTACTATTGTTGTATGCTCAGTAAGTTATAATCACCTATAATTTTAGTGGCAAGGCTTTCATATATTAATGTAAAACACCATGTACCGAATATACCGAAACAATGTACCAAAATAACATACCAATAAAAAATATTAAAAATAAATTAATAAAATTTTATGTTATTTATTGTGAGGTAGGTTATTGTTTTTTGTTATTACTCTGAAAAGAATCACATACAACAAAATCAAGAGGTATTGTACCTAAAAGTACGCTCACAGATTAGATAGGGTTTATTACATATTGCATAGGGGATTGGTTTCTCAGAAACTGTTCTAAAAATTTTGATAAATTTTTGTATTTGGATAAAGTTTTGCTTTCCAAGCCTATTTTGATAAGTATCATCCCTGTGAAAATAAATTTTTTTCCAAATATCGGTCGCCCAGATCCTTCATATTATATGTATTAAAAGTTTTTACCGTAATTGACTGCCTGTCTCGTTAGTCTAGTGGTTGTAAACGTGACTGTTGATCAAGAGGTCCCGGGTTCGAATCCCGGGTTGGACCAAAAGAAATCAGTTATTGAGTTTTCTGTCTAGATATTCTGAGAAGCTGCTCGGAGTCAGAAAGTTGGCAGTGTCTCACTCCCATGCCTCAGAAAGCACGTAAAGTCGTTGATCCTGCGAGTGATCTCTCTCCGGTGGTGTCGGTTTACCGTCCCATCTCGTACTGTGAGAGTAAGGGAATAGAGTGCACCTGTGCATGCGCATACACTTGGACACTATATTCCTCTCCTGTGCTGATAGCTGGTCCCTGTTGAGGCTGGCCGCCGTGACCGAAGTTATTTCTGGAGGACATCATTATTACATTATTATTATATAAACGTTTCAGACCCTGATAAAGAATCCCTGTTGTTATTTGCAAACAAGTTGAAAACTTTGTTAGATGTTAAAGATTCTCACATCTGTGATGACTTTCATTTGAGTTTAACAAAAACACTTGTTTTAAGCTACCATACCATTACTCCGTTTACTCAGAGCTTAAAAGAAACATTAAGTGATATTGAGAGGTATGTACATTTATTTTTTAATTACTTAAATTGATAATTTAAAAAACCCCCGAAACAAAAAAGCTGATGATCTTGAAACGACTGAACCGATTTTGATAAAACATGTCTAAGAACCACCACTAGAAAACCTGCATTTAAATTAAAGAAACCCCACCCAAATTCTTCAATTTTAAGAACTCTTAAATGGGTGAACGAATTTGGGTGGCATAGACAGACACACATAGCAGTCACACTTCTAACACCCCTCTTTTTCATCGGGGGTTAAAAACAATACACTTTAAACAAATAATTAACATGATACCTAATTTTGTAAGTATATATGTAAAGACTGCAGTGGTGCGTTTTCGCTAAAGTCAGTGCAGCAAGGAAGGAACTCTCGGACTTAACAGTGTGACCTAATCAGAGTGCCTGGTTTTACGTAGTGCATTCTGGGTTTAAATCCCACTCGGAGCCGACAATTGTTCCAAAATATTTGTCTACAGCCGCTCTTACCTTATCATAAGCGTTAAATCAGCCATGGATAGGTTAGAATCAGTGATTGCCTCTGTGTTAGCTCGAACACTTGTGGAACTACAAAACCTTCTGCATAATTGAGTATTTGTTAGCCCATTATCAATCAGGAGAACATCAGTACCATCAAATACAAGTTTGTTCTTTAATCTTACTTTCATGAAAGTAACTGGAAGTCAGAGATTATCTTCAGCTATTGTATATCTTAGCATACCTCAACTTTAGATATTATCTACAGTCCAAGGCCAAATAGGTAGGAAAAGTTGAAGTTGAAAAGCTGCTTTATAAATTTTGTAGAAAAACAAGCTTAAAGGCTGGTAGTTCTTATTTTTAAAACAAAAATAGAGTTGAACTTTGTTGAATAAAACCAGTAAAAAACTACTTACCTACTATGTATAGGTTTGTGTGTGATCCTATACAGTTATAAGGTATAGGAATATATATGTGTCAGGCTATAAAGCGTAGCATTATTTACCGAGCGTACATGCAAATTTGTCCCAAGTCCGATCCAAACAGACCATGCACTATATCCAATGTGACCCACATTTAATTAGAAGCATTAATTTTGAAAAAAAAAATTTTTTTTTGTTTGCAGCTTTTATTTAGGATTCAATTCAATTGAAATTTTTTGCAACGAAGAAAGAACTCGGACATTTATTGCCATTAAAGCTGATTATTTTAGCAACAAAAGTTTATCAGGCATTGTGAGAAAGATTGACAGTGTTTTAGAAGAATTTAGATTGGAAAAATTCTATGATGTAAGATTTTATTTTAATTATTTATAACTATATATTAATTTGCAGTTTGGTAACAGCATAAAGTACTGGAAGTTGTAAAGAGGCGATTATGGGATAAGCAGTTTCCGATAGATAACGTTATAACCATCTGGTTATATATTTGTATACCAGGTGTAAAATAATATATCCAGATTTGGTACTGCATTCGTCAATACGCCTGCTAAGTGTGACAGTTCAATCTAATCCTGTCTACAATAGGAGGCCCACCTCATCTCCAGCAGTGCAATTTTGCGCGCGAAGGATTTCAATAGTTGTATGCCGTAGGTACATTTTAAGTATGTAAAGTTTCCCAATTTACAATGACTACTTCATCTGCAAGTGATACACTCATCAAAAGAATAAACGACAACAGTAGTTATTGTGTCGAACTCAAGACTCACAGAAGAATTAAATTAGTGTGAGATGAGCAAATCTTCCTAGTGAAGTAACCCATTTGTCACATTTTTGAAAATACCTGTGTTCAGAAGAGAATATAAAGCCTATGATCAGACATAGCAGTGATGACTGTGATAGTCAATAACATCACCTATTTAAACAATATCATTGTGAGTAGATAACGTCATTTCAAATTATGAACTATTAAAAAAGTTATGCAAAACATAAAGTTTTTAAAACACATTAAACAAAAATGATAAATATTTTTATTTATTCTGCATACAAAATGCCTATCATAGTATAGTAATATATTCAATCATTGCTTCCTCTTGATCGGCGGAAGAACTCGCCTTGAATTACTTAAGATAAGTAGATGATGGTCATTTTCTATTCATCGGTCGTTATTATGTTTTGGGATAAAGCCATGTTTCGTCCATTGTTATAAAACGAGTAGAGAGTTTTAAAAATGCCTCGCGGAATATTCGGTCTGGTTTGTGTCTGCGCATTAGTGAGCATTCTGGGTAACTACACAATACGCAGATACTTTGTTATCACCAGTCCTTCATGTAAAATAGTTTTGCACATTACTTGTCCCAAATTTTTGGATATTCAGCAATAAAAAGTAGTGTTAAGGATGTGTGACACAACGATCTGCGAAAAACATTTTTTGTCCATTTTAAGCATTTCTTAGGTCACTGCCGTCGTAGAATGCCCACGCAAGGGTAACCTTTGATGGATGTTCTTTCATGTGTGTTTCATCTCACATGTTCCCATGTGGTAAAGCCACGCTGTAGCTATGTTATAGGTGTATCACGAATGGCTCGACTCGAACTGGGTGGGACCGCGCTATCACAGAATACCAGCGTAAAATAGCTTATGGTGAATGTAGAGAACCGGAGACTCTTTTTACGAAACGATGCAATCCATCTCGGTTCTCAGGAGTACAACGCATCTGCATTCTGATTTTCAATTGAGGATAAATGTAGATGTTTGTGGGTTACAGCATCTACTTACCATTAGGTGGAATGTGTGCTCATTTGTCACCCATATTCTATAAAAAATACTTTTTCTATGGCAAAATTTTAAAACCATGCATAGTTCAATTTTTTTTAAACTCCAACACGCTACTCTAAACTGCAAACAAATGACTTCTATTTTTTAAAACAAATGATTATTATTTTATTTTTAAGGTATCTCACAAATATTGAAATATCTCTTTTCTAGCGAGTATTTTGAAATTTCAAAGAGTTTTTACTGCATTCTCACTTTCTTTTAACTTCAAATAGTAGCTTAACTGCTATATTAATGTTATATATATGATATAAACTGTTTATAGTATGTATATAACATAACTGATATGTCTAAACAAAACACTATTTTTAGGATCCATCATTTCACGTAAGCCTGTTATGGATTAATGGTGATCAGAAGGAAAAGCTAGAAGCCATCTTAGAAAAGTTAAATAATGTTTTCAGTCAAGAAGTTGGAAAGATAATTAAATCTATTGTTATAAACAAAGTTAGTTGTAAAAGTGGTAACAAATACTTTCAGTACCAATTGCAATAAAAAAGTGGTTTTAACGATGGAACGAAGTCATAATCACAAAGTCTATATAAATCCAAATTTCAATCGAAGATTATATGTCGACAGCATACCGCCGCAAACAGCCAAAACATCATCTACAAATAACATGCATGTAAACCCAAATTTCACAAGAACGAATCTACTTAACAATTTCGATAATAATGTGAAACGACGCATTTTCGTGAACCCCAATTTTATTAAACCGGAATACTCATTAGATACTACTTTTTCATCTTTGCCTAAATTATGTAACGAGACAAAGGTCGATAAAGAAATAGCGCAAAGTAATATTTGTAACAAAGAAATCGAATCCTGTAACAGACCCGAAAATTTTAGGCCTGTGTCCTCAGTGTCCAAATCTCGGTACACGCTGATTCGAAAAATAGACGCATGTCCTAAGAATGTAGAAAAGTCATCTAATAAAGCAAATTCTACAGTTAAAATAAGTAAATACAAAACTGTGCGACTTAGTTACATCACAAATAATCTTGCAGGGGATAAATTATCTAAAGAGACTAAAATATTACCTGCATCTGTCTACATAAATCACCTATTACCAAAAGTTGAAAGCCCAAAAACCGCGCATTATACGCCTGTTTCTAATAAAAAATTTAAAAAAATTAATAAACCAAGTCAACCTGGGAAAAAAATTATTGATAAGAAAAATTTGCCTAACTCAAGATTTCAAATAAATCAAAAAACCCTTGAAAGGAGATTTAAAAAGAATAATATACCTTGCCCTCTATTTTGTAAATACGGTAAATGCTTAAGGAACATACACGGAAATTGTGAATTTTTACATGATAAAAAGCACGTATCGATATGTCGAAAATTTCTAAAAGGTATTTGTCATGATATTTTTTGCCGCTTTTCGCATGAATTGAGTGCTAAAAAAATGCCCACTTGTTATTTTTATCTGAAAGGGTTATGTACAAAAGAGAATTGTCCCTACTTACATGTGAAGTTAAACAATAAAGCTAAAATATGTAACGACTTTTTGAAAGGTTATTGTGAGAAGGGCGACAAATGCATTTATAGACATGTTAATAAGGAGCTACAAAGTCATGTAAAGCGTAGTTTGAATCTCCAGCGTCAATATTCATGTTCATCGAGTTCAATAATAGTTTCCAATAAAAACGTAAAAAGAAAGCAAAGCATACATAAAAAATCATCAGTAAAAAGAAAATCTGTATCAAAAACCACCACTCCATGCGAAAAGGACCAAAACGAAGTGGATTGTAGATATTTCAAGGAAAGTAAAGCTGAAGAAGTTAATGAAGATTGTAATGTAATAAAACCTAACAGATGTAAACTGGGTACTTTGCCATCATTTATAAAACTTTAACACTAAGTCTTTAATGATTTTTAGTCAAATAAAAGTTTTAAATACTTATAAGCAACATTTTTGATTCTTTTTCCTCTTCAAAGTAATTGATGTACGTATGGAGGGTTTTTATTTATGAGTTAGTGTATGACCTGACTGGAGAGCATTCGGCGAGACGTGCGGAGTAACGCTATGTGTAGCATGCCACTAGCGGGCGCCACTCTGATAAAACAGCTTTAACCTTTTAAGCGCCACGCCAAAAACGCATTACCGTGTCCTGCGAAAAGCGAACAAGCGAAAAGTAAAAAAAAACCTACGAAAAAAATAGTGTTGCCAAGAGTTGATATATCGATAACACAAAACAATTTGATTTTGTTAGTTTTTTATGCAATAAATGACTATAATCTGGTATGTTTTATTTAATCTTGTGCTGTCTTCCACTCTTTATATATATATGTACTTTGTACATAAATACGATGACGTCACTGTCACTGCTGAACGACAACGGCGTAGCTGACCTTATTGAAGCTTTCTTAAAGATGTAGCTGTGTCGGACGTTGTGTATCGATTTCGAAATCGATCTAACCAAAATATACAGAGATCGACTCAAAATATTTTATTGTATCCAAGCCAAGTGAAGCACAGAAGAAAAGTCTTACGCTCTTATGCCAGTGGGGGTTTGATATGATGCTGATGCTACCAGATGATTTTAAGATTGAGAAAGAAAATTGCACAACACAAAATGAAAAATTTCTCTTCATACCTTAAGTAAAAAATAAACATTTATTATTTGTAATTTTATATTATTAAAATAAAAAAAATTCATCATCATCGACGCTTTCCAAAATCCAAATGAGTTCTGAGGAATCGTTCATGTTGCACTGCACTACATTTTCCGCTATTCGTTTATGACGTCATCAGGGTGTCGTCTATCCTTGACCACGGCGCCCAATGAACTGATAATCGTGACGCGTTGTGTAGCTAATGATAGTTTTATGTTTCTTACCTTTTGTTTTATTCAAATATCAATAATAATTTAAAAAATAACACGTTTGCGTTTAATTTTGAATAGTTTTCAATAAATCTATGCCTAACGCATTACAACACTAGCGGTCAAACATAGACGACTTTGGCGTGCTGGACATAGTATTTGCTTAGATAAAAATCCATTTTTTTAGTTCAATATCTCTTAGTACTTGTGGCTCTAGGAGACTTGTTTTTATACTCACATGTTGCTGGGTTATTCTTTTTTGAGGAGTGTAAAATTAAAATACCAGTAATAATTTTCCAATATCTATATATCATATTTTTGTGGGCCGGGTTTTTTGTCAAGTATAGACGTCGTTGTCGCTCAGGGCCCGCAGGTGCTGGGCAAGTATAGGCGACTTTGGCGCTCAAAAGGTTAAATCCATTAGAAATAATTATTAAAAAACGCGTACACTTCATAATTGTAATCATTCCGTATACCATTGCACATACGGGTATTTGAACGATCCACGCGGCCAAAAGTCAAATTTATAAAATGCAAACCAGTAAAAAAAAAGACTACCTGGGATGCGGCACAGGTTAGAGAGCAATACCCAACCCCTCCCGCCTTCTCACCGTGCATGCCACGCTTCCACCGGCGGGCAGTCGGAATTTGATCGCCCGCACGGTGTATGTGTTTGTTCTCGTGGCGTTCATTTGCAACAAAGACTTCAACAGTGAATACTTGTTATTTTGCGTTTATTTTGGAAGAAAAAAATTATGGATCCTGATAAAGCAGGTAATTATCTACAAATTTAAATTTTTGGTTGTAATTGGAAAGATTCGTTTTAGTATATTGAGTCACGCGTAATATGGAATATTTTTTAGCTGTAATTTGTGTTTAAAAAGGAATATGTTATACTACCAAGTTAGATCCTGTCATAATTCTTGATATAATCGAAAGTTTAAAGCTTTGAGTAATAACAAATCCAAAAATTTGCCGCGGATAAGTACCTAATTTTTTTTTTAAGAGATCATAAAGTCTTTATGTTAAGTGAATTTTTAAGCAAAGTCTTTTTTGTTTTAGGTTCACAAAGAACCTCGGGAGCAAGAACTGTGACCCGTAAATACTTGTTCGACCGCATGCAGAGCTTCAATTTGCCTAATTTGGAAGAAAAACTGACTTTCTTGAATGAGGAACTTCTGTCATGCGGAGCGTACTCAAAAGAGCAAATTAAGACCTTTAAATCCACCTTTTTCTCACTTTAAAAGCCAATTAAGACAAAGGTGGTCAAAGGCTCATAAGAAGGAAGACGTGTTTCGCAAATACAATGATTCATGGCTTGAAAGAACTATTGAGATTCCCGCTGTTGCACAAAATCGGCCAGGGCGCCCACGTAAGTTATTTGGAGATTCAAGTGACAGAACAAAAAGGAGGAAAACTGAGGAGATTCGGTCTAATGTAGAAGAAGACGTGATCGTTCATGCTGTTCAGATTGAGTTGCGGAAAAGTGGAAAACGAAATGCTTCCGATATATTAAAGTCACCAGTACTAGTCCGACACGTGCAACAAAATATAAGAAGGCATTTTCTGAATTAAGAAAAGAAGAAACTTGCCCTTTTACACCATTGCAAGCATTGGCAATGTTTGTAGAAGTTGATTTAACTCGTCGACAGTACGAAATAATTAGAAATACCAACAAAAAGTTCTTCCCTTGTTACAGCCTTTTACAAAAGACTAAAACAAGAATGTTACCCACCGCCAGAGGCATGCAAAGTAACAAGTACCTGCGCTGAAAGCGACTTACAATCTTTGGTTGATCTAACCGTAAGGCGCCTGTCAACCTCCAGAGAAGAAGTCCTGATGACATTAAATGAGAAAGAACGAGATAGCCTAAAGATAATATGTAAATGGGGTTGTGATGGATCTCAGCAATCTAAGTACAAACAAAAATTTGAAAATGATGCTGACTCAGATGCTAATATATTTCAGAGCTGTTTCGTCCCTCTACTATTGGTTTGTGGCCAAGATGAAAAAAAGATTGTATGGGAAAACCCAACACCCTCTTCTCCACGATATTCCCGGCCAATCAGATTCCGTTTCGTAAAAGAGAGTACCGACATAACGGAAGAAGAAATTAATTACGTCAAAACTCTACTGATTCACTAAAGGCAACAGAGGTTGATTTAAATGGCGAAAATTTTTTAGTGAAACAATCATTCATCATGACAATGGTAGACGGTGAAGTCTGCAATGCTGCCACAGGCACGAAATCCACAAGCCGGTGCTACATATGCGGTGCGACTTCTAAGGATTTCAACCGATTAGATGTTAAAAAAGAGATAAATCCTGAAGCTATCGAGTTTGGGCTTTCGGTTTTACATGCGAAAATTCGTCTTTTCATAAGCATTCTCCACTTGGCGTATAAATTGCCTGTAAAAAAATACTAAGAAGAAAACAGAAGCCGAAAAAAAATCGAAAATGAAAAGAAACTGGAAATTCAAGCCAGATTTCGAAAATAAACTGGTTTGATAGTAGATATGCCAAAGGCAAATTTCGGCAATACTAATGACGGCAACACCAGCAGAAAATTTTTTGAAGATCCTCAGTTAGCTTCTGATATAACGGGCATTAGTCATGAACTAATATACAGATTAAAAGTCATACTAGAAACGAGTTCGAGTGGACATATAATCGATCCAGAAAAATACGACAAATATGCACTAGATACTGCTCGCTTATATGTCGATCTAACCCTTGGCACCCTATGACACCAACAATGCACAAAATCCTTATCCATGGTGCAATTATAATAAAAAATGCATTGTTACCCATTGGGCAGCTCTCCGAAGAGGCCGCGGAAGCGCGTAATAAGCATTTCAGGTTATACCGCCAAGAATTCGCTCGAAAATTTTCTAGAGAAAACTGCAACAGAGACATTTTTAACCGGCTTCTTTTGACTTCGGACCTTCTGTTAAGTAGCATGAGAAGTGTAAAAAGTAGAAAACTTAATTCTTTCTTGCCAGAAACAATTGCTCTACTTATGCCTGCGAATCCGAATGAACCTGGTAATTCTTCAGAAAGCGAAGATGAACATTTGTCTGAAAAAATATAGATTTATTGATGTTTTCTTTTTGTTTTGAATAAATACGTCTCGATTTAATATTAAAACCTTTGTTTCATTTACTAATGTAGTTTAGAACCATTATCGAACATAAAATAATTTTGGCCGCGTAGATCGTTCAAATACCTATGATAGTCTTGCCAGATTTAAAATTTGCTGAATTTTAAGCAAATTATTATAATAACATGTTTTAAATAACGATATTTCTTTTATTAGTAATATTAAGTCTTATTTTCAGGCGATATTATTGCGGTAGTATCTATGTGCCCCCTTGGATCGGAAAGGGTGATTTTTATATTTTGTTAAAGAAATAAAGTTGTCATTATTGTAAACCTCCACACGAAATTTAGAGGATTTAAAGTTAGCGGCACAGGCAACACTCACTGGTAACGTTAGTAGTATTTTTCGACAATAGCGCATAGAATAATGTAATGAAGTAATTGAACTCATATCAGCCACACTCCGGATGTGTTTGATAAAACCAGATACCAATAAAAAATAAGTGCTTGAAAGTTTTATAATTTATTTGTTACAAAATACCTAACAATATTCAATATTTTACATATGAATTCTTAAAATCTATCGTAAACTCTATATATATATATATATATATATATATATATATATATATATATATATATATATATATATATATTTATATATATATATATAAATGTCCCTGTTTTTTCATAAAAACATTATTAAAAATGAAAAATAAAAATAACAAAGCTTTTTCATTTTTTAAACCATTTGGGAACCTTGGCCTGCTTCGAGGTTGAAGATTGACTGGTCGGCTTTTCCGATTGATTCGATGTTTCGTTCATGATTCTTCTAGTTGGCGCCCTGTTAAAAATTTCGTGAGCAGTATTAATTTATAATGACAATAATTTGATAATACAAATAATAATTATTGAATCGATTTGAATTAACATCAGAAAGACATGGTTGTAATTTATTTGTGATAAGTATACGTGGCTGACACAATGTTACACCAAGAGTACAGGAGATCAAAAGAGCGCTTTAAGTTGTTACGGCGGGTAACTATCGAAAGCACTAAGCCAGTGCTTACAAAAATTAATTTCTAGAATAAGGGTGTCAAACGAGCACACAGTCCACCTGATGGTAAGTGGATGCTGTGGCCCATAGACATCTACATTTATCCTCGATTAAGAATCAGAATGCTGAAAGATGCGTAGAAAAATGATAAATGGACATATCGGTTAATGGTCTATATCAGGGGTTGGCAAGTAGTTTTAGGTGAGTCCGGATACTGTCGAAATTTTTAAGGAGGTCCAGAAAATAACAACTGATAATAAATAAGTACTACCTATGTAATTATTTTGGTTTCAAATCAAATTCTGTATTATAAACACAGACTAGATGGTAAACTAATCAAATCATATAGTTGTGCTTGTAAAGGTTAACTATGCAACTTAAAATAGAATAAGTACTAAATTAAACTCTATTTGGCTTAAAAATATATCTTTAATTAATGTAGGTATATAATATACCTTTTAAAGTCAGGTTCATAACAAAAGTAAGTTCGCATCAGAAGCTAAATCGAGAATCATTTTCGGGAGCGGAAGTAAGCCTGCAGTTTTCTTTTTTTTACCTGCAGCGTACTTCAAACAGATGATTTGTCAATGACAGTTGTAACCTCTTAGGAGCTGGAGGATCTACCCAGATAAACTTCTAGGCAGAACAGATGTCCTCCCTTCTAAGTTGATCAAATCGAACCTGATTTTACATTGTTAATGTAACACACTGTCGTTTATTACAAAACGATATTAAATGAATTAAAACTTTGTTAGTATATTGTTTTGTAGTATTTGGAAATTTTTAGTTATTGGAAAAGTGATGTAATTCACTTAACAAATAATATTTAATTTTTGTAATTAAAAATAAAATGGATACTTCATAAAACGAAAGTGTATTGTATGTTTTGTTACTCTGACCTGAAATTAGAAACAAAAAAACGCTTATCGCAGCGCATAAATGACATTATTTTTGTGGTTATTACGAGACATCGGCAGTGTGCAAGCGAGAGCTATTTACATCCCATCCTTCATCTGTTCGAGGAGTATTATACACATAGTATATATTTATATTTACCCAATCTACCAATCCTCTCATTTTATATTTAAAATAAAAACGTCTTTAGATACGTACCGGTACTTTGAGGCTAAAATACTTGCAGCATCACTTGAAGTTTTCTTTAAATAAATTTCTTCTTTTAGGTACGGCCCGCCACTTTTTTCTTCTGCCCATTTAAAGTGCATATGTACACAGGGAACGAATTTTGCTTCAAGTAAAGTCATTTTTGGATCTAAGGGTTCTTTAAGTGGTGTTGTAACTGAAATAAAATTCAGTATTCAGTATTGATCAAGGGGAATTGGTATAAGCTATAAATAAATCCACAACCATATGGTAATTCCGATAGAGTTGGCCGTAAGGAAGAGATGGCCAATCAAAGAACTTTGCAGTTCCACTTCATATATTGCACTACTTTCTCGTTAGTACACTTCGTACGTAGGATCGTAATTTTACTCGAACTCCGGCATAAAAATAACAAAATGTGTGTAAAATTTACCTATCTATATTGATTTGTATGGAGCTTAATGTTTTCAAAGGGTTTACATTACACAGTTTGGTGATAAGACATCATAAAAAATAAGTTCTTTTTTGTTCAGTTTATGACACAAATTTTGATATATCCGCAAAATGGCGCGTGGATTGTTTATATTTTTTTACAAATAATGTGTGGTCATCTATCTCGGATAATTAGTAGAGATGGCCATACATGGTCGGTTTCAGAAGGACTGCGCAGCAACTGCGCAGAGTAATCATAGACTAGAGAGTATCTATGGAAGTTACAAACCCGCGAATTATTGTCTCCACCTACAGCGCCCTTTAGAACATACCTTATATGACGTTAGCAATATATCGACTCGGCACACGAATGGACCTAACAGTCCGAGTAATAAAAGATCGAGGCGATTTGCGCGCGTAAAAGGTGACAGGGTTAGGAGATGGGTAGCAGCGTCTCCGTAATAACAACAGAAAAAAAACTGTGCCTATTCGCTTGCCAAGCGTGACATATATAGCAAATATGCAATCTAAGGGGAAGCACTAAGCACTGGACTTGATAGGCTGTAACGGTATGATATTATGATATTGATACTTATACGTAATGTATAATGCAAGTTATATTATTATAACTTTCAATTTGATTTTATACTAATTACGTTTTAGTAATAAGTTATAATATTTTATATAAAAATAAAATTATGTAACTTATTACTAAAATGAAAAAAAAGCAGTAGGTTCACAAATGAACTGGACTGAAAAGTTATTTAATATGACCATGGGCGCTGTTTGAAGGCGAAATAATTATATACACTATTTTTTAACGAGTGTGAAAAGACTTTACTTGTAAAATAACGACAAAGAAGGATCCTCGTGACTATCTTCTCTATTCGAAGAAGAAAATGAGAAAACTCCCTAAACACATTAAAACTACGCAAAAAAATTAGTAAAGTTATCTGAAAGTAGTGATGAAGATGAAGAATCAATATTATGAGATTCGTCTGATAAAGAAGGTGGAAACAGAGAAGTGGCAGTAAAGACAATTATTATGAAACGCAACTCGTCGAAGACTGGCTCAATTCAATTCGTTTTATTCCAACTGTGGGGTACATGAAATTTGCACCGAGTTTGATGATAAGTGTTCATTATGTGGACAGAAAAGAATAATGAGTTAAGGCTCAAAAAATTTAAGCAAAGAGTAGTAAAAACGCAGATCACCAACTGGAATCTCTCCTTTGCTTATATGGCCATCTCTACCGGACACTACGGGAGAGACGTGATTTGGAAAAAAAGTTAAATAATAAGACGGATTACATTAAAATTCAATATTTCTTATGTGATATCCCAAGAGTTTAATGTTAAAAGTTTAAATAAAAGTTGTTTTTTGGTAATTTATCTTTATAGTTTTCATTTAACTGCTTCTTAAAAAACTGGCCAACTTCCCCAGACTTACCCTACATGATTTTTTTAACTATTCTTAGCTAATGTTTCACCACTATCCCTGATGGTAAGTGGTGATGCAGCCGAAGATGGTAAAGCGCATTAACTTATAAAAACCTTTTCGGTCTTGCCTTGAAGACACCCACATTGTAATATGATGTACAGACAGATGCTGGCAACTTACTCCACGCTTTTGCTTTGCGGATGACGAACGACGCTGCAAAACTTTTGGTTCGAATGTCCTAATTTAGTACATCGTTACAGTTTTGAGAATGCATGATGCAGTATTAAAAATATATAACTCACATATAACAAATGGTTTATCAGGGTTTTGTAGATATTCTTTAATGAAATTCATAACATCTTCAATAGTTTTCAATGGAGAGAAAATACCCTGTAGAATCATATGGTCTGGGAACTGTATTCGAACCACAACATTTTTATAGGTGTTTTGTTTCTGTTCAGCGATCTGAAATTTAGAATGTTAAAATTAGGAATAATTTTTTTTAACATACCTACTATATATACTAGTTCATTCATTATCACATTGTCGAAGTATAAGGTTATGTCCTGATACAAGGCGCATATAATGATTTCTTAAATTTACGCGAACACTACACATTGAATAAAACTATTATTTACGGATTTTATCGCGTTTAATTACTTTAATTTATTTTTATAGAAATAATAAAAATAAATACAAGGCGCATAATTAAATATATGTACGCTCTTTCGTCTCGTGGGATTTTCGCTCGTTTTACGAGTAATTCAAGATACTAGGGGCTTTGTTACATTCAGTAACTGTGCAAATGTTGACACCATACCACGGATTAAAATACTTGACGATACGTGGAAAATAACACAATAAATTAATATTTTTTTTCTATTCAATATAGATTACAAGTAATTCATAAGAATTATTGAAATTCAATATTAATGCAATGCAATGAGTGCAATATGGATGCATTGAAGCATCGCGTCAATAGTAACTCCATGAAAACCAGTGGAATCCTCAAGACTCAACACCTCCCCATTTGAGATTGAGCATTCAGTGTTTAACATTGTTAATTCTATACATTTTGATTAGTTCCCGTATTGAAGAAAGTTGCTGGCGATAAGCAAATGTACTAAATTTCAATAGAGCATGATTCACACCGATATAATTTATTTATTTCTGTTTTAGTTTGAAAATTAAAGATATATCATCAGCAATTAATACTATATCGTGATTGTCCCCTACAAGATAAGGTAATTCATTAATAAAGACTAAGTACAGGAACGGGCCAAGAATCGAGCCCTGAGAAACACCCATTTAAAGTACCAATCCGGAGGAATTCTCATCATTTACGACTTTTTGTGTTCTGTTACTTGAATATGAAATAATAAGTCTAAGCGCAATATTTTTTATACTATAAAGTTGTACTTTCCCGATTTATGTCTAGGGAAGATCAGAAAAAATACCTAAAGCATCTTGTAAATTCTCCCAGGAATTAAGATCATACTTAATAAGCCTAATACCGGCACCCATCGAAAGATCCCATGTAAAACCATATTGATTTTTATGGAGTAATGTAATTGTGAAGGAACTTAACATTTCATACAAATTTTTTTTTATAAATTATAGTGTTGAAAGTACAGAAATAAGTATTTAATTAGCGGGGTCCAATCTACCACCAGACTTGGGGTCACTGCCCCACAGAAGTGAATGAGTGTGAGGTTTTGTATAGCCTACTTGACGTATGGATTTAGTTATAATGTTGTCTAATTAAAATCACCCAGATAATACTAGTTTTTAGGGATTTTATCGCCTACATTAACTTATTTTATATTCCCGACGTTTCGAGCACTTTACTATTCTACCTTTAGATAAACCTACTGCATTTTTAGACCATCTTAACTCCATAAATTCTAAAATTCAGTTCTCAATGGAGTTAAAGGCAAATAATTTTTTTGCTTTTCAAGATATATTAGTAATTCGAAATGCTGATAACACCTTGATCTACACTGCGTTTAGAGAAAAGATATTTAAACGGTGTTTCTCACCACCATCCTTCAGATTCTGCTACCGTGGGTGTATCTGTGTTTCAGCACCCTGGCCACACCTGGCCGCCGAGCTCCAACACGTAAAGCAAGATTTGCATATCAACAAGTTTAGGGTACCGCGCCTACGTCACAGCGAACGAGTGAAGCCGGCCACAGTCGAGAGTGTGCCTGCTGTACTGCCATATATCAGAGGTGTCACCGACAAGATGGCTACATCTTAAAGTGTGCTTCCATTAAAACATACTTCAAGCTGCCGAAGAAGATTAGTTAGTTTTACCACCAGTCAAATTTAATATCCCTCTGCAAAATGTAGGAATGTACAAGCTTGATTGTGAATTTGGTCTCTCTTACATAGAACAATCTAAAAGACCAATAAAATCCGCGTTAAGCTTTTCGCTGCCCCTTGTACTAACTACATATATAGTTAATTGCTATTGACTTACTTATTTATTATTAAGTACTACAGTACAGTAGATACAGGCGACAGTTTTGCTGCTGATGTTTGGTCTATTAATACTATTTAAATGTCTTTGCATGTGGTTGTCTTCAAGGGAGGAGTTTAATAAAAAAAAAAAAATGATGCAGAAGGATAAATGAAACCTATGCTGGCAGTATGGCGTTACAGCATGGGCATGAGACGGCGACTGGAGATAGGCTGCATGCTTTTCGCCATTACTCCCATAAAACTGCTGGACGAGCCCACCGCAGGGATAATTATAAACAAGTTAAATATGATTTATTGACTATTGTGTCTGCTTATTGTATAGTGAAAATGTTAAAGAACACAGCTGATGTGAAGAATCGACATATTTGATAGACCACAAATCCTCGCTAAAGAACACACATTCCTTCCAAAGGATGATTCGCGAGGCAATTGAAATAAAAAAATATCCTAATTTCAATAATGATGGCTGTGTGCCACCATCTCTGCTTGGGATTCAATAATTGATCAAATGTAGTGTAATGTAGCCCCCACCTCTGTATATATGAGTGTTAAGGTTGAATAAGGAGCAGTCTAATTAAAGTTTTAGTGACAACAACACCTCTCCTTCTTATTGACACCTTTTCAAATATTACAAAAATTAAATCCTAACCCAAGTCTACAACTGCAAGACTTTAAGGTACTATAAGTTCATACTGCGTAGATCGGAAAAAAATTTATAACTTTAATCTGAAGGTAGCCGTAGTTGATATTGGGACGTCGAACATCTGAGTCCCCGTGACCATGGTTGTTGTAAAGTGCTTGAAACGTCGAGAATATAAGTTAATAAATGCGAATCCGTAAAAGCCATCTAAATAGCAACATGTCTCTTCATTGATTCACCTATATTACATGGTGACACTGCCAAGTTGTTTTTAATTTTTTTTTTAAATATAAAATAGAAATGTCTACGGCAATACTAACTACGCATCGCTGCTTTTAGTGCGGTTAAGCATTTTCGGCACCTTCGGCCATCTTTTTCATATTGCAACATACCTTTGACGTAGCAAGAAGATCTTAGAGAACGTTCAAAATTGTTGTATTTGTAATTGCAAGTAGTTCTGCTAGTTACTTATTTTTAACCTCTCAACCCCCTAGCGGTCTCATGAGACCGCGGCCATATTCCGTCAAATCCCTAGCGGTCTCATGAGGTCGCGTTCACCTGATGGTACGTGGATACTGTAGACGATAGACATCTATATATATCCTCAGTTAATGATCAAAATGATCATGAGTTTTCACCCTCGAGGACTAAGATGGGTTGCCTCATTTCCAGCAAAAAGAGAGAAAACCTTTTTCTGGAAATTATTTCTTTATACTCAGCATACGAAACACAGCAGCATTAAGCTGCTATTTTACGCTGGTATTCTTTGAGAGTGTTGTTCTTCTCCGGTCGAGCCACAACCATGATTAGCTGCTACATTGCTCTACCACTTTAAAAAGTAAGCACTTACCTGTTTTTCAATATCACTTCTTTGCGTAGAAATCATTAAAGGCGTATTCTCTAATTCTATACGGCGCTGTTGCAGTTCATGGTACATCTTCCGCACTTCTTCTATCGTTAGATCATAAAAGTCATCGGGGAGGTCTTGTAATTCATCTTCCATCTCATCTGGTTGCATAAAAGCTATCGCTTTTTGGGCAC